TCCATACTTTTACAGATAATAAGAAACATATAATTAAATTAACAGATGCATATTTCTGCCTTCTCTCCTATCTGTTTTCTTTGAACGCTATGCCAGACAGCAAATAAAAATCTGCATTTAAATAGAATATTTTTAATGTATGAAAGTGGGCAGCCTGAGGGTAAAAGGTATTGCATTCAGCTCTCCACAGTCACAAAATTGCATTCAAAATGTGACACTTCATTTTAAAAATTCATTGAATATTTTTGATTTGTCATTCTATTACTTTCATTTTACTCTAAAAAAACCCAAAAAAACTTTTAGTCCAATATTTTTTGTATCAAAGAATGTTAATAAAATATTGTGATATGATATTGTTTTATCAGTTTAATTTTGAGAAAAGATTACATTCAATCAGATCTCATAAGTCACCATCTCTGATAATTCCTGCTATTATTCAGTGTGAAATTCAAGCAGTCTGAATTCATTAACATAAGTTGTTACAAATCTGCATTTTTAGACTTTGTCATAAAATGCAGAAGTCCAAACTCAGTGACCTGAATCTAACAGCCTTTCATGTGAAGTGGCCCTGCTATGCAGCTTCTCCTAACCCCTTCCTTCTTTTATGGGTCAGGATACAGACACTACTTGCACTCTTCACTACTGACTGGGTCACAGTGAGAGAAAATATGAGCTAATCAAGGATCAGCAGTGCTTGATCACATTTAGGATGCGATTGTGCAAATGCTAACATAGGCCCTGATCCAGCAAAGCACTTAAGCATGTGCTTAATTATAGGTATGCTAGTAGTCCCACTGAGGACAACAGGATTACTCATGTTTAAAGTTAGGCACGGGATTAAATGCATGGCTGGATCGGGGCCGTAGTGCCTACATGTGTGAATAATTTCATTCAAATTAATGGGACCTCTCAGTACACTCATTAGTATCTACAGGATTTGGCCCTTAATTTTCTTCAAATTGCAGAGGCCTCTAGCAAAGAGTAGAAGAGTGAGACCGTGTTAGCACCAAATGACATATGTTATAAAACAGGTGTCACATTATATTGGACAGACCACAGAAAGACAAAAATAAACCATTTTTGACACTGTATTATCAGGACAGCACCTCCAGGAAAAAAAATGTTGATTTCTAAATTATCAAAATGAGACAACATTAAAATGACACATGCACTAAAGGGCCCGGTCCTGCTCCCTTTTAGCTCAGTGGCAAAACTCCCACACAATTCAGTGGGGGCAGAATCAAGCTCTAATTTAGAAAAACTCCTCTAGTTTAACTCCTGCAATGCAATCCTGGCTTGAACACTGAACAATTTAGTAACTTACAAATACTCTGTATACTATTCATTCTAACGGTACGTCTACAATGCAATTAAAAACCCGTGGATGGCCCATACCAGCCGACTCAGGCTCGCAGGACTCGGACTAAGGGGCTGTTAAATTGCAGTGTAGACGTTTGGGATTCGGCTGCAGCCCAGGCTCTGGGATCCTCTCACCTTGCAAGGTCCCATAACCCAGGCTGCAGTCTGAGCCCAAATGTCTGCTCCACAGTTAAACAGCCCCTTACCCAAAGCCCCAAGGGCTCGAGTCAGCTGGCTTGGGCCAGCCATGTGTGTCTAATCGGAGTGTAGACATACTCTAAGGGGCCTGTCCTTTCTCTACTGTTTGATGGGGAGGTGTTCTCCCTAGCCTTTGTTATCAGAGTAACCCTGCTGCTGTCCACCACGAGTGTTGCTTTGCACAGAAAGGAGATGACTCTCATTTAAAAAGCTCAAAGTTCATGAATCTAGATTTCCTCTGCAGGAAGTTACACCTAAGGACTGCCTTCTGAACATTTTCCATGGATCTAATCTGAGAATTACCTTACCTACTTATCATAGAATCATAGAATCATAGAATATAAGGGTTGGAAGGGACCCCAGAAGGTCATCTAGTCCAACCCCCTGCTCAAAGCAGGACCAATTCCCAGTTAAATCATCCCAGCCAGGGCTTTGTCAAGCCTGACCTTAAAAACCTCTAAGGAAGGAGATTCTACCACCTCCCTAGGTAACGCATTCCAGTGTTTCACCACCCTCATAGTGAAAAAGTTTTTCCTAATATCCAATCTAAACCTCCCCCACTGCAGCTTGAGACCATTACTCCTCGTTCTGTCATCTGATACCATTGAGAACAGTCTAGAGCCATCCTCTTTGGAACCCCCTTTCAGGTAGTTGAAAACAGCTATCAAATCCCCCCTCATTCTTCTCTTCTGCAGGCTAAACAATCCCAGCTCCCTCAGCCTCTCCTCATAACTCATGTGTTCCAGACCCCTAATCATTTTTGTTGCCCTTCGCTGGACTCTCTCCAATTTATCCACATCCTTCTTGAAGTGTGGGGCCCAAAACTGGACACAGTACTCCAGATGAGGCCTCACCAATGTTGAATAGAGGGGAACGATCACGTCCCTCGATCTGCTCGCTATGCCCCTACTTATACATCCCAAAATGCCATTGGCCTTCTTGGCAACAAGGGCACACTGCTGACTCATATCCAGCTTCTCGTCCACTGTCACCCCTAGGTCCTTTTCCGCAGAACTGCTGCCTAGCCATTCGGTCCCTAGTCTGTAGCTGTGCATTGGGTTCTTCCGTCCTAAGTGCAGGACCCTGCACTTATCCTTATTGAAACTCATCAGATTTCTTTTGGCCCAATCCTCCAATTTGTCTAGGTCCTTCTGTATCCTATCCCTCCCCTCCAGCGTATCTACTTTGTCATTTATGTCAGATAAGGGACTTGGTTGCAATATGGATACTCATTTTTTGAGAGTAGATGCACGCCTATAGAAAGTTAAACTCACTGGGCCGGATTCTGCTCTCATTTCACCCTGATTTTACAAGGCAAACACCATTAACTTGAACCTTAGACAGAACTGCTCTTGATACATCAGAAGAGAATCAACCCCGCACACAGAGATTTAGTGATAATTATTTTATGTTATTAGGGAGCTGCAACAGTTGAAATTTTTAGATGTCCAGGAGCATACTGGTGAGAGTTCAAACATTACCGTCTAGTCTATATAGAAAAGGTTTGCTGGTATAGCTATACCCACAAGCCCTTCTACTGTACACACAGTTTGTAATGGCAAAAAAATGCTTTTTCCGGTATAACTTACATCAGTTCCTTGACCAAAATAAACTATACTGGCAAAAACACATGGGCTTTTGCCAGGATAAAAAAAGGTTGCAAAAAACTCTCACCCCTAACCAACATCATTATACTGGCTAAAGTTTCTAGTGTAGACCTGGCCTAAAACTTTCCAGTCCCTGCAGAAAGCCAAACTCTGTGAAATCACTGGCAATTAATTGTGCAAAGCTCAGCAGGATTGCCAGCCCCTGATAAACTCATTCCAAAATTCAGCCCTGAGGCCAAAAGACTGCAATATTTTAATTTCCACCCTTTCCTTAACCTTCACAGATGAGATTTCTCTTACATTTAAAGAACTGCCCAACATACTCTGCCTTCAGAAAACCTGAAAATAAGAAAGAAATTCTAAATTGATGGATGTGAGTCATCAACAGCAAATTTCCAAGTGAGCAGTTATCTTTAAGAATATCCCGCCAAAAAAACAAAATAAAACACAAACCAAGTAAAATTAAATAAAAAGCACTCTGCAGGTGGCAGCCTGAGGTCCAGTCTACACCATAAAATATAGCGTAACCAGCTCCCTTAACACAACATGGCCTGACCTTGTGTAGCTAAGAGTCTTTCAGAACCATATTACTGAGGAATGTGATTTCATGGACTTCACAGGGCTGTAGGAGGATCTGTTAACACAATTACAACACTTTCATTTAAACACATTAAACATAAAACCCACTGATCCCACCATGTAGGCTGCTTGATAAATAATTACAGGGATTAGCAACACCTACATAATTAAAGTTGCCTAACACTTTCCATTGTAAGCTCCTGTTTTCAGTTACTTATAACTCTGCCAAATTTTAACCATTTGGGATATTTTCCATGTTTGCACTCTGCCTCAGGCTGAATTTTATTTTTAAGTGTCTGAAAAGAAGTTAGCTGCTTCCAAGGAGGACAGGAAAGAGGTAGTTTTGCCAGACAAAGAAATTGCTTTAACTGTCTTCAAAGAGCTCTAGCATCTCCATGATTTGGAGAGCAGGCATTTGTCTTACGGGGCACAGTCCAAGAAGTCCCCTTTGCAAAGCCACCAAGATTTGACAGTTAAAAGCCTCTGAAAATCACCACTTGCACATCTTCAGTAAAGCTTCCTCTCTCTGAAGACCTTCATGCACGGAAGCTGAATTAAGGTTGCACAGGCAACTTAACTTCTGACATTTACTAACTTTTGAGTGCTTGATTTTGCAACTGTAATGTTCTTTTAACATTGTTTTTTTTAATTTAATTATAAAAAATTAAATACAAAACAGCTCCAGAATCTCCACTGTGTGCAACTGCACAGGAAGAGAGGTTGTCCTTCAAGCAGACAAGTCCCAAGTCATAGTCAAAAACCAAACACCTGAAATTTCACCCAGAAACTGATAGGTAGCCATGATTCAGTTCTGGCTCCAGAATGTGTTAATCATATTAGGAACTACTGTTCTGTAACCAGACCTCCCAATCAGGTGTATTGCATAACACACATGGGACCTATTACATATAAGAAGGGTTGTTCTCTCTTCACTCCATCTTCCTCCTTTACCTACTCAACCCTGACTCTAGCCACAGAAAAAGATTCCCACACCTCCATCTGATCAGAATCACATAACCGCTCATCTTACTGAGCCTCCAACCCTCCTGTTTCCCTGATCTTTCAGCAGACACACATTGAATGTTCACCTGGGAATTATAAGCAACACTCCCACACCAGAGCCAGTAACCTCTCCACCTCCAGGCACTCAGATCAACATTTCCACAACACCATCCATCTGTCAGTCTGAAAAGCAGAAGGACTAAAGACACTCCCAAACCTAGGCTTTGATGGGGCTTCATACGAGTCTGCACTTACGTTTCTCTTCGCAGGATCGAGATTGAAGCGTGATCAAAAGGCTGCACTGAAAGTTAACAGACCTCTGGAAACATCTTCTAGAGAAGAAGCGGTGGAGGAAGATGACAAGAATGGGTGAAGAAGATAGCCTTCTCTTCTATAAAGCCTTAGATGGAGGCCAGCAATAGGAACAAAGAACCTAGGAACACAGAGGGCACGTCTGAAACAAAAGATGGCCTGTACACAGAAGCAGCCTGATCCCATCCCTTTTTCTCCCACCTTCTTCCCCAAGGCAACCTTATTCTCAACACAGTGATCACAACATTGTGGATGCTCCAACAAGGAAGTGGATAATAAAAAGCTAGTAAGATAGGTAACTTAGCACAATCAAGTTTGCAGAACCTATAGCACCTGAAATCATATGTTCAAATCCCATCAAGGATAACTCAGCCCTTTATTTCCACCACCCCTGAGGAACAGAAATGGAAGTTTACTGTGTGTGTCTGCATGGTGGGGAGGAATTTCTTCACAATGAAACTTTAATATCTGTGGTCCAGCCTGCGCTACATGAATATTAAAGACCCTATAGTGCTTTTGTTCATTTGTTTTTAAAGAGGATGGATTTGCCCAAAGGTACCTGGGAACAATTTCTTTTGCTGTAAGCCGGATGATTGCGGCCCCCCTCCCCCCACATTTAGATGAGCCTGTATTTCAATGCTGGAGCACACACATAGCTTCTGAAATGCTCTGGGATCCTTTATAGCCTTTCACTATAGACATGTGTAAAATATTATTAATTATTAAATCATGTTAATTTAATGTCATGTTCAGTGAGAAACAGGGATAAAAACCAAGAATACTTATCAAATGCATAACCCAAAACCAAAAGAGATAGGACAAAAAACAAACAAACAAACACACTTCGAGCTAAACCAAGAGGGTATGCAAATAATGGAAATATCGTACACCAGTACTTAACATTATCCCATAAACAGCAAAATTCACCTCATCTGAAATAGAGATGTAGCTGTTCCACTTAGCTTCATTATTCAAGGAGTTACAGGTTACACCCAGTCTGCTGGCAAAAATGAGCTGGTTTGGGCAAAACAATGTACACATGGACTGTAAATGAGGGAGGACACCATTACAATAAATACTGAATTACAAAATTCTCAAACGCAAATCAGATATTTATCCTCTGAGACCCTTGCTAGACGAAAACCATCCCCTATGCTAAATAATAGACAAAAACCATCCCCTATGCTAAACAGACTGACCTGATTCCCCTCTCTCCTATACTGGTGTAACCAAATTGACTCCAATGTAGTTACTTCTGATGAATGCAGGTGTAGCTGAGACAAAAATTAAGGCCTATCCATGAACATACTGAAAAACAAACTCTAAAACTGGACTCAGCAAAAGCTCGTATTTGAGATGGGAAGAGGCTGTTTACAGTACCAAAATAAAATGGTAAACGTATTGTTGCTAGCAAACAATACATTATTTTAACATGTTATGATACTTATAAATATACGAAGTTTAAATAAGCAGATGACAGAAAGTTCCTTTTCAGCTACTGAATGTTTATTATTCTTCGCACATTAGCACTTTTCCCCCCTTACGTTATATCTTCTGCCATTTATAATTAATTTTAACAGCTTCTGCAACTTACCCCACAGGTTGTTGCTGTTTCTTTTAAACAGCATGCTGCTGAGAAATTGATTTGTTTGCTCCGTATGCCTACTGAAATCACATCATGAAATATGCATAAATGTCATTTCTTGGGCTGTTTCTGAGGATTAACAAAGAATAAAAACTGACTTTAAAAAAAGAGAGACACCCACATACCCCCCCAAAGAAAAAGAAAAACTTAAAACTGAAACTCAGTTCAGATTATTGGCAAAAAGAACATTCCATACTGGGTATCCAACGTGCCCTCAGATACATGGCTCAGATTGCTACCTAACTGGTACAAACACGTACTCCCCAGTGCAGCTGTTTCTCCGAAGCAGTAGAATTCACAAGGCACATCAAGTATCATGGGGGTCAGTATGGAACTCTTCAAGATAAAGTGGGCCAAGACTGCCACTTCCATTAAGTATCAGGTAAGGACAAAGGGGCATATGTTCTCTGACCCCCTCTGTCAATGTAAAGGTTCACATTTGCCAAGTGTTGCAGTGTTGCAGATCTTGGCTCTCTAGGAACTGTCTCCGGCCCAAATCAGTTTGAGGATAGAAAAGAGCTAGTGAAACCTGGACTAAACTAACCCATGACCAAATCCCTATGAGGCTGCAGAGTACTACCCAAATCCTATGAGAGAGAGGAGGCCCAAACATCATTTGCAGCCATGGAACAAGCCAGTTCTGTAGCTATCCTGCCCAGCTCCAGAACAGGAGCTGTGACATCCCAGTATTAAACGAGCTAAACAACAGCCAAATAATTCAACTGCAGAGAGAATTTTCTACGTACAAACCCTTATACACATTGGAGAAGACAATGGACCCATTCGCATTTCCCCTAATTCGCAAGGCAATAAGACGCAGGGCAGAACCCCACAAATCCCCTGCCTGAGCCTCCCCCAGCTGTGTTCTCTCCTGCCAAAAGCCACCCCAGCAAGCAGGCTGCAAGAGTCTCAGCCCTGGTCTATGGTACAGAGTTGGGTCGACGTAAGGCAGCTTACGTTGACCTAATTATGTCCGCGTACACACTACAGCCTTGCTCCTGGCGATGTAAGAGCCTTATTACACTGACAACATAACTCCATCTCCATGAGAGGTGTAGGGCTTATGTTGGTGTAGTTAGGGCAACACAATGTCTGTCTAGATGTCTCTACGCTAGAGCCATGAAATTGACAAGAAAGCCTCACAGCTCCGGCTTTCACCCCAGGGCAGGTGGGGGGCTCCAGCTAGAGCCCAGCTCCTGCTGGGCTCCACGTTCCCAGCTGGGCAGCTGCCCAGGCTCCCCATTCCAAGCCAGGCTGCTCCCAGGGTCCCAGCTCGCCACTCCCAGCTGGGCTGCTGCCCACTGCCTCTCTGCTCTGAGCCAGGCTGCCCCCATGGTCCTAGCCTCCCGTTCTGAGCCGTGCTGCTGCCCTGGATTCCAACACCCGGCTGGGAGCCAGGGTCCTGCCTGGGCTCCCACTCCCCTGAGAGCCCGGAAGCCACCCTGACTCCAGTGTGGAGTGGAGAGCCCGGTCAATCGCCACACTCCTGGCAAGGAGCCAAGAGCCTGGGGGGACGGGGCAGCTGCATGGAGCTGAGAACCTGGGCTCTCTGCTCCAGCCCCTGTTAAGTCAGTGAAAGCACTCCTGGTGACGACGCGCACCACCGACAGAAGGAGTGTAGCGTGGATGTGAACCACCAGAGTAATTACTGCAGTGACTGTAAGTCGACCTAACATAAGCCGACTTAAGTTTTTAGTGTAGAAATGCCGTGAGTCGTGTCCACACGGGGAAGGCAGAGCAGCAGACAGGTGGGGGCCCTGTGCGGGAGCACGAAACACTTGCCTATTCCTACTAGACTCGGACTTGAAACCAGTGCAGAGCTCCTCTAGTGTAGAAGCCATGGGCCTATATTCCATATTGCTCAGGTTCTGGGCCTAAGAATTTAGGCCTGTTCTTACACAGGTACTAAAGTAGCAGACACTTTCTGTGTTATTATTTTACTCCTCCTATCAGAGGTCTAATATTTAACTTTTGGTTATTCCACTTTTGCAGACACCTCCAGCTGCTTCTGGATATGGAAATCCAAACAGATTACATGTTTACTGTTTTAACGGCATTGTACATGGTATTAATGCATTTTTCAAACAGTCATTGTTTCATACATATGTATAGATAATTTACAAATATAATAGGATCTATTTCAGTAAAATATCAGACACCATACACATCGGCGCTTTGCCTTGCACAGCCCGTAATCAGGTTGGGAATGCAGATGGAGGAAGACGGGACCGAGATTCTTTAGGTTGTACCCTTCCCTTGCAAAGAGCATAATACATCTTAAAATCCACATGGTAGGACAAAGTTATTATAGAATGGGCAGGCAGGGCCTGCTATATTTAAGCTCGCACAACAGCTTTGGTATAAAACAGAGTGGAACACAATCTGATACAATACAAAATGAACTGTGATACAGGCTAATGGAATACAATGCTGTGCACGGCAACAGAAAAAGCTTCTCAAAAACTGCAAATTAGTTCCGACTCAATGGGATCAGAGTGAGATCATTCTCTGAGACGAGTCCCATTGACTCAGTTCAAGCAGCAGCATGCTATGCATATGTTTAATAGACGTAATGGTAGACCAAGATGGAAGGCATTTTTCCCCATGTTATTTTCTACAGCAAAACATATTCAATTACAAGTTCTGAAATGCAAACAAGGTGTCTTTTCTCTGAGACCTTGTTAGACATATCACTCTCTCGAATTATTATAGAGAGCTGTCAAAATAGCCCGATGAGAGAGCTCTTGCAAAAGTATAACTATCATAGTATCAACTAAATTCCATTAACAGCTACACAGTCATTATTTTGCATAGTGAAAATAAAGGCTCTGTGTTTGGGATCTACTTATTTATGGCCATCTAACCAAGAAGCACTTATTTTTCCCTGATGCCTTTGTTAAAATTACAAGATAATTTGGAGTTGTTGCAAATATTAATGACTGACGACAAAATGCCTCAGGAAATTTGAGGCGGCTGTCATCTAGCACTATTGACACAGTAATAACTCCTGTTCCTGTAGGAGTAAGCAAACTAACTCAAAGAATAATTATTTTTAATTTATGTCAGCACAGCAAGTACTGAAATTGGGAATGCTAGAAATTCTGTGCAATGATTATGAAATTATATTTCTTCTCTTTTTTGGCTATCTATAAGGTAATCAAAACTATGCAAGGTTTTTCATAAGGTGAAATTTTTCACAGCCCTGAGCAATGTAGCTAGGTCAATTTAATTTTTAAGTATAGACCAGGCCTCAGCGCCCTTGCAATGAAGCAGCTGCTGATCTTGAAACCCTCACTCAGGCTAATCATCCACTGACCACCAGCACCTGCATGTCCCTGAATCAGAAAGGCATATATAACAGACAGAGTGAAGGCAGAGAATAGAAATGGGAGATTTTTCTCCCTTTTGACAAAGATGTACAGTACTTGATCAGAGTGAAGATGATAAATCCCCTAAACAACAAAGAATCCAGCTCC